CTCTTCAAGTCTTTTTTATTCTCTTCTCTTCTTACTATATTCTCACTCCTTCAGTCTCCTGACACCTCTCACTTTCTCTCTCCTTCCTCTACTTCCTACTTCCTACTACCTCCTACTACTTACTACCTCCTACTTTCTACCTCTACCTCCTCGACTCCTCTACTCCTCTACTCCTCTATAGAAGGGAAATCCTGGGTATTTATACCCTTTACCACGTGACTTGCCCTCGTGGACAATCTCAACTGAAGCCACTACGTCACGTGCCTTGTAGCCATGGATACCAGGAGCACCTGGCAGCTGGGGGCACTAAACAGTGTAACAAGATGTTTATCAGAGTGCGCTCAGCTATTGCAGGCTGTTGAAACAAGTCTCTTGTCAGGGTATATGGCTCGAGATGGCTGTAAAGATGATAGCCACTTTCGGCTAAGAGTCGGCTCCCAACATCTTTACATGATCACATGTAGGAAACAGTTTGATTAATCAGTTGAGTGTTTTAACTCTAGAATTGTCAACCAAATGTAATCCTCCACCTCCAGGTTGTGCAGGGTAATTGTGTTTTCAGTAAGAGAAGATGGGTTTAATGTTTCCCATCTTTCCTGACATGGCACAATGGTGTATAGGTATGAATCTTCGTGTTGAAAAGATGGTACTAAAGGGCATACAGTTTCACACTTCTGCATGGTGTTTTCTACATGTTCTGATTTTGTAAATGCAAGAAGCATGCGGTAGGAAATGAAGTCTCCAAAGGAGACTAACTTACTCTGTTTAACTTGTTGTCAAGATTCACATTCTAAACTGAAAATTGTCTCTGAAACATAAATGACTGCATTGCAAGCAGAATCAATAAAGTAGTGATTAGGTATAGGTCTCAGGGGGACTTGGAAGTATCTCCTGCTTTCGTATTTAGCTCAGTCACAAGGGATTCTGTATGATGTCTCAGGAATTGGAAATTCTGTGCTCATTAAAGTTCACTACACAGTCACTTCAAAAATCAAATTATATTTTTAAAAGTTCTATCAATCCTCCCTGAAATAAATCCCAATTTATGGGTTTTAATCAGTGTGATGAACCATCTTCTCTAATATTTAGTGTTTGGGGTTCTTCAGTTTTTATAGAAACTAGAATAGACTCTTCAATCTCAAGGTAGGATTTTCTTATTAACACCACTAGGTGGAATCTGGTTTCTATTTTTAGTAAGTTGGGAAATAAAACTAATTTTCTTCACGAAGAGACATATATATTCAGACATTTGATTAATCAGTTGAGTCTATTAACTCTAGAACTGTCAACTAAATGTAATCCTACACTCTAGACACCTGTGACTTTTGAACACATGACAGCATGCGACAATTTTTTACAGGGTTTATTTTATGCTGTGTGTATGTGTGTGCATTCATGAACACCTGTGTGTGCGTGTGTGTGCGCACACACCTGAGCACATGTGCATGCTTGAGTGTGCTCGCAAAGTAAAAATGCCCAGAGTCCCTAACAGGTCTTCAGGTTTCCTGAAGCTTAGTGTTACAAGTGGTTATAAGCATCCTACTGTGATGCTGGAAACTGAGTTCAATGCCCATCAAAGAGAAGAACATGCATGTAACTGTCTAGCCATGTCTCCAGACTCCCTGAGTGACACCAGTAACTGGTTTTTTTCTAAATGTCATGATTTTGAAATATTTTTCCTATATGAAAACTATAACAACATAGTATGTTTTAAAAATAAGAGCCCAGTTAAATTATCTTTTAAAATACTGTTCATGAAAAGCCCAGAGGAGGTTGGACTCCCAGGAGTTCTAACATGCCCAAGAGTGTAGGATGCTGAAGGAGCATGGTGGCCTCCAGAGTGATGGGTGAGACATGCTGATGCCAGGACAAAAAGTGATGCTGACCTGTGAACTTGGGGGTGCCCTGACAATGGTGACTGAGAAGCTGTATTGGACATATGTTTCTGACCCACCATTGCTTACCTACCTCTGAAGGGAAAAGCTGCCTTGCCTCAAGTTCTTAGATCTTGTGGAACAGAGAATCAAAAAGAGAAGTTATAATGCCTCTTGTATTGTTATTAAATGTGACCAGTTATTCAGACTCAATCATGGACTGGTCTAGAAATCAATGCAATATTGGAAATAATAGTCTTCATTTGGAAGTCTAGTTCTGGACATCTTCAGAGACACATATGGAAATTATCTGCAGTTCTCTATGATGTTATGTTAGCAAGAGATAAAGTTGGTGCAGGATCTGAATTTCACACAGTTGTTAACACATGTGTTTAGGCTCTTTTAATTGTCAAGTTAAAAATACCTTTGTTCCTTCTACAGTAATTAATGTAAGTTGCATTGATTGTATACCTTCTAATTGTGTTTGTGTTTTGAAATCCAGCATGTCAGTTATGGAGATCTATCAACCAGCTTTTGTTTTAGTGTCCTGAGTATCACAGAACCTTGGTATTCTAAAAATAGCTTGCAAGTACTGGAAGAAATGAGGCAGGCTTTAAGAAGCAAGAGGGTAGTGGGCTTGATTATTGCTGGTATAAAAGCTTTAATTACATGAATTGCTAGCACCACTGCCTCTGAAATTGCTGTGACACAAGAAGTTAAAACAGCTACTTTTGTTAATCATTTAGCAAAAAATGTTACTAATGTGTTGAATATACAACAAGATTTAGATAGGCATTTGGAAGAATAGATTGATGTTCTTTATCCTATTCAAATTATTGGAAGGAGGTTCAGAGTTTAAGAGTAAGGAGCCATCTTGAGTGTCATGCCAAATACCATTGGATTCATATTGGTTTTACAATTTACAGTGGTAGTCATTATAATTAGGAAGAAATTTAATTGCACTTGCAGTGTATTTGGCATAATCCTAACACCTCTGGAGATGATTTAATGATACATAGGGAGCTTATGAATTTCAAGAATGCTGCTCTGCTGAGCATTGATGTGGTAGATACTGCAGATTAATTTACCCATGGCCTGAGGTCAGTATTTCTATTTTGGTCAAGCTTCAAAAATGGCATACATAGCTTGTTCATGCTAGCCCTTTTTGTCCTGGAAATACTTTTATTCCTGTCCATGTGCTAAAGCTTTTCTTTAACAACATCAACATGTTGGCGGCCAAAGTACATGGTTTGAACCTGAAAATGGAACCTCAGACAGAGTTATTAAATTAACAGTCTAGGAAGCCAAGGATGGGTAAGATTCTGCACAGACCCTTACCAACCTAAGACATAAGTATATTGCTGTTGATAATGCATGTTCTATGACAGGTAAGGAAGGCATTCTTGTCAGAATGACCTAAAAAAGGCTCAGTCTTGTTAATGAAGCAAGAAAGGAGGAGAGACAGAGAGCCTTTGGGGCTACTTGGCAAGAATCTGACATGGGCCAAGGACAAGGAAATGGGCTGCTTGGTAGGAATATGATATTGGCCAAATACAAGGAAGTAGGCTTCTGGCAGGAATCTGACATTAGGCTAGAACAAAGAAGTAATTTCAGGTAGGAATCTAAATATTAGGCTAGAACAAAGAAGTAATTTTAGGCAGGATTCTAAACTTTAGGCTAGGATAAGGAAGTAGGCTTCAGACATGAAAATGACCTTGGGCTAGGACAGGAAAGTAGGCTCAGATACTTTGGTCATCTTGACAAGCGCTTAGAAACAATGATCATGAGAGTGTTCACATAATTTGGTTTAATGCCTTGCTTTTTCTTTGACTATTTGTGTTTGTTATCTTGCTTTTTACTTGAATATCTGCATTTATTGTATTACTAGATCCTCAACCCAGAACTGACCTGAATTCATGCATGTAATCAAAATGGTATAAAAGCATAAAGGAGGAGAGGCATAGGATAGGGGATTCTGGGGAGGGGAAATGGGGAAATGGGATGACATCAGTACAGTAAATAAATAAAATATCCAATAAAAAATTAAAAAATGAAAAATGAAAAATAAAACACTGTTTATTGTAAGCTTGCTATTAACACAACTTTAGAATTATCTATGCTGATAGATGTGGATGAGGCACAGAAAAATATATCTTTACAATCTTTACAGATGTAGAACTTGCCTCAAGATACAAGAAAAGGAATTTGTAATCCCTTCAGTCATTTTTGTTCTTTTATATTGTCCTTCTGAAACACCATTTATATTTTTAGTACCTTGGAAGCTTGAGAGAATGGATCAATAGTTAAGAGTACTAACTCTACTTGCAGTAGACCTAGGTTCAGCTCCCATGGCCTGCATGGCAGCTCATCAGTTCCAGGTTATCTAGCACCCTCTTCTGAGCTCCACAGCACTCGGTATGCACATGGTGCACATACGTGTGTGAGACAAAACACACTCTCATTCCTAAAATAACATAAACCTAGAAATACATTTTCAGTATATTTCAGCAAAATCATGCTAGAGGAACTGTCAGGTATGTTTATTCTTGCTGATGTGTAAAGAATAATCTACCATTTCACACAAATAGGAGAAATAATGCTAATATATAATTTGAGTTTTATATAATTGACACATGTAATTTGGTATTCTTCACTATCTGAATTTAGTTTTATACTCATGAAAAATAATTTCTCATGGCATTTATTATATCTTCAAGGGTTGATACTACAGAGAGATATATGAAGGTCAAAAACTTTTTAACACTAATAAATTAATTGTCTTACCTTATTTTATGATACATATTATTTTTCATATTTATTTGTTTATCTGTGTGTTCCAAAAATGCACTGGACATATGAAATCCATATGTTCTTTTTCTTAGACAATGTTTTTAAGTCCTGTTCTGAGCTCTTTTCTCCACTATAAGATGTTTTATAATTTTTTCCCTGGTGTACTGCTTTAGTTTTTCTGAAAATGTTTTTGGATCTATGGGTTTGATAGGATATATTATAGAACCAATTTGTGAAAAGGTCATTACTTAGGATACTAAAAAATGCATTTTGTTAGAGCAGCATTTCTTTTTATGCTTTGTTATCAACACAACATTCTTTTTTTTTCTGTTTTAGAGCAATGAAGTTGTCTACTATAACGCTAAGGATGATCTTGATGTAAGTATTGAAACACTATACATTGAATTGTTTCCAATGATGAAGGATCATTTAAGCGACTTAGAATGGATTGGGTACATTTAAAGAGACTGTTAGAGGACAAGAGCAAACCATTAGTCAGATGGAGCAAGGTGATGGTGTTAAGGCTTTCCTACTTTTACTGAGAGTCTTGGTGGTTAATGTGCTTGCTTCCTAAGCCTGAGGACCAGACAACAGCACTCACTCAAAGAGTGGGTGTAGTACAGGTACCTGTAATTCCATCACAAGCCTGGCTTGCTGTGGCAGGTCCCTGTAGTCCCAATGGAACCCTGGGCTTGCTGCTCAGACAGGGCAGAAAATCCTTGAGATAAAGACAGAACCCTTATCAAAAGAGAATCTGAAGAGGGATTGAGAAAGATACTTGACATGACTTCTGTCATCCACAGGTACACCACTCACATAACCATACATGCAATCTCCCAATCAAGTTACCGTCACCTACAATGTAATGAAGTTGAATAGTTCTGTTTTCAATTTGCTCAATTTCTGATTTGGATTCGGATGAGAATATATATTACTCTGGAGAATATACTTGGCATATCTAAAGAATATAGTCTATTATAGAGCTTAATACTTAAAAGGAAGAGAAAAAGACATCCAAACATTCCTTAAGATGTTATAAAATTGAATTTCCTCTTTATCTTTCATCTTTTAAAGTTTTTCCATTAATGTATTTATATTTATGTTTATTATTTTTTCTGTTTTTGTTTTGTGAAACATGGTTTTGCTATACTAGGCTGGCTGTTACTGTAGTCATCTGTAGTCATGAGCAAGTGGACAAGTATTCAAATAACTGATTTATAAAATGGTAACAGTATCTGCTGTATTGTTGAATCAATGTTAAATAATAATTTGAGTTACTATGATACCATGAAATAAACTCTTCTGCTGAGAAGTTAAAATTTTGCTTCTTAAAATTAAAAATATTTTTACGTTAACATTTTTAGATAAAATTTCTATTTCTTTTGTCGGTTAGATCCCTTGAAGAGGTTCTGTTGTGTTAAGGGGTATTAGGGGTTTGAGATATATATATAAAATTTTCTGTGATTTATTATCATCTATAATTATTATAATATATTTATTATAAATATTATTACTAAATAATATTTATTTTATATATAATACATAAAATTATATATCATTATATATAATATATAAAATTATATACAATATAAATAAAATTATATATATATGTATATATACATACATATGTATACATACATACATATTCCACTGCACACCTTAATTTACAAGGTAATTATTTCCTGAAGCAATGGTTATCATTATTTTAAAGAAAAATTTAGTACATTAAAATTGTTTTTTCATTGCTTTGATTAGTTTCATTTTTTACCACTAATCACATTTTCCCCTACATGTACAGGAAGCACGTTATTTAAAATTCTATTATTCTTGTCAGCTTCATGACCCTGTTGAATTATGATATTCAGTTCATCTGTAAATATGGATTTCAATACATATTTCCTAATGTTGGCAAAGTTAGATTTTTCATGCCTATTTGAGTAGCAGTTGCCTGACATATATAAACGTTATTAACTTATGACTGTATTAAATTATGTATATTTTATAAATATAACACTTTTATAATAAATTACAACATATTTTATAGTTAAGATATTTTAAAGGGTATCAGTATTGACTTTTAGTGTATTTGCTTCATATTTAGATAAGAGATTTGAGTTGATTTCAAATATAAATTCGAAAGTTTTAGAGACCTTTACAACCACGAGAAGGGGACAGAGTTTTTGCCCTTGCAGAGGACCTTAGGAGGATCCATGTTGGGTGGGTCATAGCAGCCATTAACTTCAGCTTTTGGGGATCTGGTGCCCTCTGCTGGCCTCCACTGGCACTTGATTCAAACACACCACACACACACACACACATACACACACACACACACACACACACACACACACACACACACGCATAGACAAAGGGGAGGGGGTAATTAAAAATAAAACAAAAACTAGAGAAATATATAAAACATTTTAATACGTATTTGAGAAAATAATACTTTCCTTGCACCTACATGCTTACTTGAAACCGATGGTGTATACCTATTTCCTACTCAAAACAATAATGTAATTAGTAAAAATTATATTTTGAAAGAATTACCTCAAAAGTGTTAAGTTTCAGAAGTCTTTTAAGAAATGATATGGGTGATACAATATTGTCCTAAGTTTTAACCTGAATTGCACCATAAGTTGATTTTTTTATATAACCTAGTTGGTTTGGAATATTTCATGTCAGTTTTTGAAAATTTATGAGGACTATCACATGATTAATTAGATACCTACTAAATTTCTTTTTTTAAAAAATAGAAATGTAAGATGTTGATGGTTTTCTGATTCTTCCCTTATGGAATTTTCTGGGTACCAGAGCTAGTGTGGAAATTCATAGTTGATCATTTGACTATCCAGGTTGATATTTTGCTCTTAGTCAGTTTTTTGGTCTGTTTTTTGTCTCTCTGTCTCTCTTTGTCTCAGTGTGTGTGTGTGTGTGTGTGTGTGTCTTTCTCATTGTTTGTCTCAGTTACTTTCAGTCTCAGTCTCCCCTCTTTCCTTCCCTCCTCTCTTCCTCCCTCCTTCCCCTCCTCCTTCCCTGGTTTCCTCCCTCTTCCTTCCTTTCCCTCTTTTACACCAGGAAATGAGGTAATTAGCGTTAGAGAAACTCGGCTTTGCCCAACAGAGCCCATTCTGAAGGTTACACTTATCATTTCTTCTTGCAATAATTGTTTGCAGCCTGTAATAAAACTGTGGCGCTTCACAGCAAGGAGACACAAAATTTATTTTGTTTCTCTGATGTGCGTATACCAAGTAAAGGATCAAAGTCAGCTACTTAAGTGAGAAAGAGGAGAGTAGTAATTAGGAGGTAATATTTTTTCTACATGTCTCCAGTTACTTTTCTCAGTGTATTAAAGATAGTGGCCATATTCCATCCACATATCCTCTTTCATTTAAATGTACTTGAATCTTTAAATTGGAGGGAAAGCTGCTTTTATATAAAATAAATATAAAATTTTTCATTCTAATTTCTAATGCATATATTTTGACCACTATTACTAAATTATTTTTCTACAATTGAAACATTACTCAGAAAAGATAATAAAGAACTGTAAATACTATACTCTCATCTCTTTTAGGGCTCTAAAGGGTTACATTGTTTCAATTTACCCCATAGACTTATCTGACACAGTTGGACTTATATCGATGATACAGTTTATTCACCTTCATAAAAGGTTTTGTAGCATAGGGGAACAACTGGAGTGCACCATTCATGATAATATATGTACTATTTGATATTTGTATATAAAATATCATAAATCATAATGCCAGCATATTGTTTTGGCTTGTATTTATCACACCATAACTCTTCTTAGTCTATGATCTCAGATTGCCATCTTATATATCAATAGCTTACATCAAATTAATCAGGGGAACTTATTATAATGCTAAATTGAGAAAATGCTCTCTCATTAGAATTGTACTCTGTTTATTTCAATAAGTGATGCAAGTAGTCAAAAAACTAAAGTTTATTTTATTCTTGTGCAAAAGACTAAAAGATTATGAAATCTGAACCTCTGTTTAGTATTTTTAACTTTCCCCCCAGTTCTGTGTTAGATGATTTGCTTTTCAGCTTCCATGAGCAGCAACACATTGGCCATTTCTCCATTTCCCACACATTACCATCATTTATTTCCTTTCTTTCTTTAAGACATTAAATATTACTCAGACATTGGTCTAATGTGCATGTAGGAGTTATTTAAATGATCTCATCTTTTTGTTTCTAAATTTTAAATAGGTTTTTAATCATTCAACACATTATTTTAATACATAAATATTCCTAAACAGCATGTTCATAGATACTTACCGTTGATTTGGTAATTGAGTATGTATTGTTGAGGGTGGCATTTAAGACCATGACTGAGTCTTGCTGGAATTTGTTACACTGACAACTAAGTGTTAAGATGACTTTCTTCTTGGAGGTACCACCAAGCTTTACAAATGATCCCCTTGGTGAATCAGAGTATTATTTTCCAGAGGGCAACTTTGTATGGTTAAAATCTCTGGCATAGCTCTCAGAAAGCTTATACAATGGAGTCATCTACCAAGGGTTCTTCATTCTCGTGTAAGTCACTGAATCTAAGATGAAATCTCATCTTACATAACTGTAAACGGGTTAAGAAACTAAGATAGTTGATATAGTCTAAGCAGTTTGGTCTTTCTGTCCTCCACATTTAGTTTCTTTCTTAAAGAGCCCATTTTCTTACTATCCACACTTCATTCTACATCTGTATTAGTCACTGTAACTTGGAGAAAAATAATTTAAATATACATATTTAAAAAAGAAACACTTGAGCTTTGCAAATTTCTCTTGTTCAAATGGTACAACCTTTTTATGTCACCCTCTGCTCTGTAGTTTGATAGTTTGGAAGGAAACAAAAATAAAACCTCCCATCTGAGCCTATCCTAGTTCTAAGATGAGACAGGTCTTGTTTTTTAAACAAATGATATAAAGAACAGTAATGGGAAAACCTCCATGGAAAGTTACAATTAAGGAGGAAAGCCACAGGAATGAAGACACAGTAATAAGTCTCTGAATTGGTGTTATGTTTTTCAGGTAAGAAAGGAAAAAATCATGAAATACATGGTTAGGCCCTGCAGTGAAAGATCCTGGGATATACAAAATATACCCAAAAATCATAAAACAGAATTGAAACAATGAAATTCTCATCCAAAGAAGAAACAAATTTAACAGTATGAATTATTTATGTATGATACACTCAATTATTTTAGGAATCATTGAAAAAATACTTAAAAAGCAGAAACTTTATTGGAAGGATAGTAAGGATGGAAGTTAAGATTCAGAAATGTGAATCATAAAGTTTGTGTCCACAGAGATTATGCCAAAGCACAGGGAGTAGAGAGTCGTCAGATTTAGTC